GGAGACGGGCTGGGGCAGGCACTGTACAGCTGGGGAGGGGTGGGGTACAGGATGGAGCTGCGAGAAACTTGTCCGCAGGGTAACGGGGGCACTCCCGCCACTACATGCACCCCTGAGGGGGAGGGGGGGGGGGCGGCATGTGCCTCTGGATCTGTGCATGGGTCGAGGGTGGGCTGCAACTGCAGGCTGGGGCCAGGGCAGCACTGGGTTCTTCCCAGCAGTGGCCTGGGCTGTGCTGTGCTGGGGCAAGTGGTAGCAGCACTGGGAGTGGGGCTATGTGGGGGGAGGGGCTGTAGCACCCCCCAAATTTGCCATAGCCCCCCCACCCCCCCTCCCTGCACCACTGCCACCTGCCCCAGCCCCAGCCCCAGCCCCTTCCCCCACAACAGACTTACCAGCTGGAAGCTGCTGGGCTGTGCTCCTGGCTGCCTGCATGCTGTGCAGCAGCTGAGTGCACGCATGGGGGCATTTATCGGTGACATTAATCGACCACATCAGCCAAAAAAAGCCAACTGCTGATACTGTCGATTTTCATTATAATCGGTGCCAATCCAATATGGGAGCGATGCATCAGTGTACCTCTAAGAATTATAGAAAGTCACGAGAGATTATCCAAGGCCACAAGACAGGCTAGTAGGGGTGGTGATGGGGAGGTTGCTTAGAACTCAGGAAATGTGGACCCGATGCCCTCCTTTGTGCAAAACTTTCTGCGCAAGTCATTAAGTTCCCCATCTGTGAAACAGGAATGGCACTGCCCTACCACTGCACATGTTGCAAAATGTTCAGATACTATAATAATAGGGAGGAGAGATAAGGGGTAGAAAAAGGCATGGAGGTATATAAATACCTAAAGATGTCAGAAGACAGATCCTTTTTTCAAAGACTGAACATAATGAAAAAACAAGGCAATATTTCTCATAACCTAGAAACTGAAATCAGAGAGCTCTTCAAATCCACAATTCTCAAAGAACCTGCAGTGTTTCTAATAAAACTTGTTAACAAGTTATGCCTACAAAGCAGATTTTTCTTTGGATTTCCCAGATGGTCTTAGTAAAGATAGTCAGATGCACTTCTTTCGTTGAGTCAGACCAGTTATTTTACCTGCAAATAAGAGGACAGGCACAAGCTCCAACAGAATAGGTGGCATATAGATGCCATCACAGCTTGTTACCCCGTTGTAGATGGAGAGACGGCACAGATGTCAGAAGTGGACCCTGACCAGCCACCATTTAAGAGCAGCTTGTAAAAGGGGAGGTAGCGGGAGAGCTAATTCTCTTCCATGCACCAATATCACCAGAAGATGGGAAGGTCAGCTCCGCCAAACCTTAATTAGCATCAATAAATACATTTCATGTGCCTTGGAGCTCATCGACAGCAAGCAGCAGCTGCCTGCTTCAGTCAAGTGAAAGCAAGTCCAGTCGCACGCTGTATGCGTATCGGGGAGCAGCGGATGTGTGCCAAGCGTGCGTGTAAGTGGGATAAGACATCCTGTGCGATGTGCACAGCTGGGATTCCAGGAGTCCTGCAGTGCCCTCTCCCCAGCTCAGCTCTCTCACACTGTATTTAGTCAAATACAACTGACCACATCAGCTCATCCTAAAAACACTTTGAAGGCACAAGGGTCATGTGCACAGGAGGGCCTTGGAGAAGCCTCACAGGGGAAACTCAGCTGGGAATCTAGAAGAAAATGGGGTCTGAGTGGGGGTCAGTGTCAGTGGGAGCAATAACAAAAAAAAAAAAAGGAGATCAATCAAGGAAGACCTCAGTGGTGTGTATTGGCACAGCTGCTTTTTTTTTTGTAGCCGTGTCTGTATGGTGGAGGGTAGCAGAATGGACCACAGACTGGGGAACCCTCCTGACCCAGGCTGGGTCATAGGCTTACCCAAGTGGATCCAGGGATGACCACAGTTTTCAAGGAAACATAGCAAGCAATGTATGTTAGCAAGGTTTCAGAAGTGCCTAGTGGTGGCTAATTCTGCTCTCACCCGAGCCGATGGAAAAAATCCCAACAGCTTTGCTGGGAGCAGAGTGAAGCCACCGCTAAATGTTCATGAAAATCCTTCTATAGATGCTGAGTGCCCAGGCAATAGCCAAGCCAGGCTGCTAAAGACGGGGGCCCATTTTTATATTAAATGACCTAGGCTTAACAGGCCTAGCTTATCATGGGAGGAGGGTGACAGGTTCAGCAATTTCAAAACAGGACAGAAGAAAAGCCACAGTATAGGACTCGCTCCATGGTTCCTCTGTAGAGTTTTGGGTGACTAAATTATCAGGTTGTCCCTTTCTTTTTTCACATCCAGGTTATGTTCCTATCCTCAGAGCCGGCATTCATTTCTGTCAGCCATCTGTCTGTTGTTCTAAGGGCCCACAGCTGGGGAAAGGTGCCTGTGGAGACCATGTTTTTCTTTCAAAATCAGCAAAATGTGTTCCCCTCTTTCACAGTTTGCAACTTGCTTGTAGCCAAAACTCACACGTTCCCATTCATTTGTTTTCTAGCTTTCTTGAGTGTTAGTCAACGCTTTTCCAAAAACGAATGCCCCGAAAGAATCTGCCTCAGCTCATCGCTTGAGTTGCCAGGTCTCATTCCCCATTTGCTTGCAAAGAACCAGCTCATTTGAAGGGGAGGCTGCACGGAGCCCGTGTGATCTTTCTGGTTGTGGGGAGAGAACAAATAAGAATGATACCACCCGGAAATTGCTCCCATAATTCTTTCGATTTTGGTGGAACGCAGCGAGTGGCATGAGCTGATGATCCCTCTCTGCAATTTATCTGAAGCCTGACAAACCATAAGATCACTTTGTCCCTTAAAATAGCAAATAACTGTAGTCTCTCAGATAACATTGTTGTAAATCATTACATTTTTGGTGGCAGCCACTCTAGTGACTGTAAACACCCCTATACGAATGAGCTCACTACATAGTGACTATAACGCATAGATGTGATGTTGTAGGTCTCGAGTACATGTAGCATCATAAGTGGTCCTTATATCAGGCACAACAAAAACTAAAGTACAAAAGGGAGATGTGGAGAGGAGCCTAGATATGGAACTGGAAAACAGTGTTGGATGGGGTGGTATTTGCAGAGACTCCTAGTTGTCTTATGCCAGGCCGGGACTGGGAGATGCAGGGTGGCAAGGCCTGGTGAAGCAGTTGGATGAAGGCAGAAGTCTGCCATGAAGTTCCCAACCCCAAGGGAACATGCTGGATTGTTAGGCACTTTTCCACAGTCACGGAGAAGTTGCTGATAAATAGGAGTGCCGTCTCACAGGACAGGCAGCGTTGTCGTACTTTGTGCTCTTTAAGGTTGTATCATGGAGAACGGATCTCGTTCCTTCCTCTTTGTAGCAACCTCTTGGATGTTTGACGGCTATTGTAACTGCATAGAGGAATGGCAGGGTCTCCCTTCTTCCTAACCCTCAAGTCATGTTGTGAGCCTTTGTATGGAGAATTGTTCAGTGCTTTCCCCTGAGGCCCTTGCCCAATCCAGGAGTTCTCAGTCCTAACAAACTGTACTACCGACCAGTATGCCACTCCATAGCAGAGCTGCTGTTTCCTTTTAGTGCCAAAGAAGTTGAGCTGGCTTGGTCCCTCCCTGCTCTACTGAGTTCTTACCCAGGGCCATGCTAAGCAGTGAGGGGTAGTTGGGTACTTGATATTAAGTTCATAACACTACTCAAAGTCCACATTACTTACCTCCTTTGCAGGCTTCTCTGTTCCTATTTGCAGCAGTCACATCTCCAGCTTCTTCCCAGGAACCTCATTCCCCATCAGGAACAGTAGTGTCCAGCTCTGGTCCAGATGCTTCCTTTAACTTCTCAGCTGGAACTGACTCCCCTCCTGATTCACAGTGCTTATAACCCAAGGGTGAGTAGAGCCAGCAGCTGTCAGGCAGCTGAATCTTAAAGTGACCTCCCCTACATATCACTTGAGGCTCTCTCTCCCACACTTCCCACGTGTTGGATTTGCAACCGCCATCATGCTATTCCACTATGGGTTTGCTCTTTTCTGGCAACATGACTTTGGTAGCTAAGGTTCAGAGTTGTGGTCCACTCTACCCCACCCTCTTCCCGTATCACAACTACTCAGCAAATACAAGACTCCCTGTCTTGTATTTGCACATATTTGCCTACTAAAATCTAAGTGTTTGTAGTAGATCTTTTTGCATTGCATCCTCTTCATTTCAGACCATTTCCCAAATGTGTTGAGCTCATTTTGAATGTAGTCCTGTCTTCCAAAGTGCTAACAACCTCCTCTAACTTTGTAGCACCTGCAAATTTGATATATCTACTTTCTGTTCCATCATCCAAGTCAGTAGTGAAAATATTGAATGGTACCAGACCCAGGACAAACCTTTTGGAAACCCTCTCAAGAGCATTTGGCAAAATATGCAGCCCAGAACCTTAATCAGGCAAATTTCCCATGGACTTTGACCAACTCCAATGGAGTTTCAACCAGGCTCATCTGCATTGTAAATTCAAGCTTAAAGCTCATTAACTATTCAAAGGATCGCTTCTCTGAAGACCTTATCATTCTTTCTTCTCTTTTATGAATTCCTCTTTTCATGGTAGGAACATTCTCTGGAATCAAAATTTAAAAGATATGTGTTGTCCATCTCCCAGAACCAAATCAGCATCGTGCAGAAGATATTACTGTCTCCATTGCTCTTATAAAAGGGTATGTATAATCTGTTTTGGGGTGTCTTTTATTCACAGCAGGCTGAGAAAAGCCAATTTTGCCTCATTTAAATGTTTATAGTTAAACATCTTTAAGCAGCAATGGGCCTGAAAAAATCTTGCCAGCTGCCTCTGGGGACTTAAGAAGTCCTTGGAATGAGATAAAATCTATATTGCAGCATTTGATAAAGCAATACAATGCAACTTCCTGCACTCTCTGCTGCATTACCTTCTATTTCCAAGCAGTGCTGCCTGCTTGGTGAGCCCAGAAGGCAGTGCTGGCTTTCCCAACCACAGGTGTATTTTCTTGCATACTTCCAGCTCTCCTCAAAACGTTCTATGCCAGATTCCTTTCCTGGTGTCATTGTATTAATGTATTTATAGTAAAGCATCATCCATTGCACATGGCACGGTACAAAAAAAATTAAACACAGTACAGTTTAAATCAGTCAAAGGTTATATACAGACATCTGCACATTTCCACCCCATAATAGCATACTCCCATCACTTACGACAACTACACAAAACACATTCTGCTTCACAGCCCAGGTCCCCAGCATTGTTTCCCATCCCAGCAAATCCTCTGGCCCTTCATCACGCTTCCCCTCTTCCAGAAGAAACCGGAGCAAATAGGTCCTGAGATTCAGATGAGGGGGGAGGACAACAGGTTTCAAAGGCAAAGGTCACTAACTCAGGCCACTCTGCTGATGACTGTTCTTGTCTCTGCCAGATGATAGAGTGCATCAGACGACCTTGGCGCCTGATGAATCTCTTGAGCAGACGCTCCCTTCAAAAGCTGAAGCCCAAATCATTTTGGCCTTGATGGATCAAACACAGCTGAAACTTCATTTGAAAAGTGGCCTGCAGCCAGCAGTTGTAAAGGGCTCACTCTGTGCAAGCCCTCATTAGCCAAGTAAGCTGTTGAATTCTGCACTTTCTGATAAACTTACAAGAATTAGCCTGGATGCCTGTTGCTGGGAAATCTTCCCCTATGCCCCACCAACGAGGATCCCAGTTCTATAATCAGGCATAAACCCAGAGTGGCTGGAGTTATAGAAACCTGGGCCTGATGGAAGATGGGTGTTGGTTGTTTTTTCTTCACTATTACTTTCTTTAATCCCTCCCTTTCCCCCCCCTCAAAAAAAAAAGAGCAAAAGATTTAAGATAGGCAAAGGCTGGAGTGATTGTCTGCATGAGATAATGCCAACTTGAGTATATCCACATGCACAAGGTAGTGCTGTGATGAGATATTTGAGCCAACTAGTTAGTCTTGTTGAAAAGTAACACCATGTTAACCCAGCTATTGTGCTTTCAGTACCTAGGGTAACTTGTTCAGAGCTAACTTGGGTATCTATGCACAACACTGCCTTGTGCTACGTAGACGCAGCCTTTGAGTGGGGGGTTTAAACTCCTTGCTTCTTTAAGTGAAGCAAATGATTCATGGAAGCACCAACAACTCCAGTGACTCAATGCTAGCTTGGACCAGCCATCAAGAAGTATGCTCTGATTCATGGGTAGCAGCCAATGCTAAATGCTTGAACTCAAATAAGATGATTAACATGCCTGTTAATGCACCCTGATGTCACCTCTCTCTTAAACAAAGCAATTCTGATTTTTAGTAGAACTCATATTAATTCCACACTTCCAAACTTATGTGGAAAGAGCATTAAAGGCTTTTGGTAAAACTGCCCTATTTCTGCCAGACTTGAAAATTATGTTAGAGCCAATTAGACTTCACTTGCTCTAAGAGCACTGAAATCCTTGAGCATTTTAAGAGTGGAATGATTAGCACATTTGAGAGATGTTTTTCACACACTAATATGCAGTGACTTAAGAAAGTAGGCCATTAACGCATTTTGTCTTATTAAGCAAATCTCCCACCACCACCCGCTCTACACTGGGCTTCTTTCCAGGTCTAGTAACTAGCAATAAATCAATCTTGGACTCTCATAGGGTGTTGACTTTCCTTTCTGTACTGTAGGTTGGGTTTAGGACATGACAAGTGATACTGCAGGATGTGATGCAGGTGTGGGTCTAATGATTATTGTTCTTCAGGTAGCAACTCTTCCTTAGGCCACAGCCGTTTTTGCTGCCATTCTTCACATGCTTCTCTTCAGTATCAGAGAGGGAGTCTTCCTCCTCTTCATCGCTCCGGTCATCTTTCAAGTGCTAGACAGAAGAAAACACAGTGAATGCATACTGATATCTATGATTACATTTGCTGTCAAACTATGAGATTACATTTGTCAGTGCAGTAAAGGTACATTTTTCAAGAGACTAAGAGGTATGAACAAGAAACGATCTGGATTTTCAGATCTTTGAGGTGGCTTGAAAAATATCAGCCAATAATTTTTAGAATTAATTTAGCAAGTGCACTTATCATTCCTG